CAGCTGACAATTATGGGTATTGCATAGAGTGCTGCAGCTGACAATTATGGGTATTGCATAGAATGCTGCAGCTGACAACATATAGGGGTATTGCATAGAGTACTACAGCTGACAATTATGGGTAGTGCATAGAATGCTACAGCTGACAATTATGGGTATTGCATAAAATGCTGCAGCTGACAATTATGGGTATTGCATAGAGTGCTGCAGCTGACAATTATGGGTATTGCATAGAGTGCTACAGCTAACAATTATGGGTATTGCATAGAGTGTTACAGCTGACAATTATGGGTATTGCATAGAGTGCTGCAGCTGACAATTATGGGTATTGCATAGAATGCTGCAGCTGACAACATATAGGGGTATTGCATAGAGTACTACAGCTGACAATTATGGGTAGTGCATAGAATGCTACAGCTGACAATTATGGGTATTGCATAGAATGCTGCAGCTGACAATTATGGGTATTGCATAGAGTGCTGCAGCTGACAATTATGGGTATTGCATAGAGTGCTACAGCTGACAATTATGGGTATTGCATAGAGTGTTACAGCTGACAATTATGGGTATTGCATAGAGTGATACAGCTGACAATTAAGGGTATTGCATAGAGTGCTGCAGCTGACAATTATTGGTATTGCATAGAGTGCTGCAGTTGACAATTATGGGTATTGCATAGAGTGCTGCAGCTGACAATTATGGGTATTGCATAGAGTGCTACAGCTGACAATTATGGGTATTGCATAGAGTGCTGCAGCTGACAATTATGGGTATTGCATAGAGTGCTACAGCTGACAATTATGGGTAGTGCATAGAATGCTACAGCTGACAATTATGGGTATTGCATAGAGTGCTACAGCTGACAATTGTGGGTGTCGCATAGAGTGCTGCAGCTGACAACATATTAGGGGTATTGCATAGAGTGTCACAGTTGACAACATATAGGGGTATTGCATAGAGTGCTACAACTGACAATTATGGGTATTGCATGGAGTGCTACAGCTAACAATTATGGGTATTGCATAGAATTGTGCAGCTGACAACATATAGGGGTATTGCATAGAGTACTACAGCTGACAATTATGGGTAGTGCATAGAATGCTACAGCTGACAATTATGGGTATTGCATAGAATGCTG